ATTCAGACTCTGTATAATACTTAACCATTCAGAGGCAAATGTCCGAGCCATTCAGACATCTGAACCATTAAGAGGCTGAAACAAACAGTCTAAACCATTAAGTGCTGAACCATTTAGACATCTGAACCATTAAGAGGCTGAAACAAACAGCCCCTTAGTATTTTTTGCTATCGTAGTGTTTTTAGAGCGGTACGGATAATTATACTTCCGTTGCCCCATCCAAGCGTAGTTTCCCAACATTTAAATACCCTTTCTAGAGAGTTCTTTTTATAAAATAGAGTTTAGAGATTACCCGTTCTTTAAATTGAGCATTGGGTTTACTATGAACCCATACTCTTAGTGCTTGAAGTCTTAGGCAAAGAGTACGAGTGGTGTGAAGTCTTGCGCGAGAAGTCTGAGCAGTTGAAGTTGTAGATGGTGCATCTACAAGCTAGCGGTTGTAAATGATTTGTTAATAACCCGTAAGCTTAACAAGATTAGTGGAAAACTCGAGAGAGCCTCTCGGAGACTGTACGTAGCCACAAGTTGTGGTGAAGCAGTATAAAATCTTACTTTATCCCTATGGTTTTTGTTTGATGATTATTTTTTCAACATTCTCATGTCATGCTATTGACACTCCTCTAGTGAAAGGCGTATGTTCTAACAAAAATTACAACCTTGGTCCAAACGACTATCTTACAACTCTTATTCTAGATTTCCAGACGTTTCTAAGTCCTGCCTAACCACATCTTTCTAATTTTTTCTATGTCTACCTCTTTCGAACTTTCCTTGAATCCACCTGCTATCGTAAGCCTTTTGCATCTTCGCACAAGGACCCCAGATGCATGCTGCTTCATATGACCAAACCATATCAACCTAGGTTCCCACATCTTATCCTCCATATGTGCCACTCCAACACATTTTTGAATAATCTAATTCTGAATCTTTTCTAACATCTTCTACCCACACATTTGTCGCAGCATTTGCATCTCTGCCGTATGTAGTTGACGAATGTGGGCTCTCTTAACTACCCAAAACATTTCACACTACAAAACATAATCGGTCAGATTACGCACCAATAAAAATTCTCTTTCATATTTTCTGAAATCTTCTTATCGTATAGAACCCTTGACACTAACTTCAACTTTGCCCAAGCAGCTTCAATATGGTGAATTTTCTCGTCCAGATTTCCTTCAACCGAGCACAGATTTAGAAACTTATCCCTCTTAAGCATTGGGTATGTGCGCATCAATTCTAACTGTACTTCTGCCTTTGCTTTTGTCATCAAATCACAAAAACCCACTTTCAAGTACTTAGTCTTAGCCATTCTCTATATGATACTTTTGAATTTCAGGGACTTGACGCCACAAATCTAACTTGTGATTGAGTTCTTCATGAGTTTCATCGATCAAGATAATATCATGTCGTCAACACAAAGCGTGCACCTAGAGACTTTTCCTTGGACATCATCATGCGATTCAATATCCATCACCACAACAAACAAAAAAGGACTAAAGACCGACCCCTGATTTAACTTCACTTCTACAAGGTAACAATCATAGTCACCTCTACAATTTTTATCCCACCTCTTGAGGGGCGTCCTTTTTTTGTTTAACCACATGTGTTTTGGATTTGCCTTTGGCGAAATCTGACTAATCCTGATCGATCAGGTCTGTTACGAATGATATTTTTTATACGAATGTTGTTTTGCGCGAAACATAATCGAAAGGGTCAAACTGCGGAAAGAGGACCCTCTTTAGTTAAACATCACAATTTGAAATGAGTAAATAAAATGGAATTTGCTAGGGATATCCTAAGGTGGTATACACCACTTTTTCACGGACAATCACCGTTTGTGTGAAACATAGGCAGTTGGTGTCTCTGAAAAGGTAGTGTACACCATCTTGGGATACATTTAATTTTTTTCAAATAAAATAAAAAAAGAATAAAGCTAGAAGTACACCAAATGAGGTATTCCGTTTGTAAACCAGTCAAACAAAAACACTAAATATCTATGATCTCATACACTTAGTGGCAATATTTACCTAGTGTACAAATAAAGTACCCCATTTTAGTGTACTCTAAAAAATAAAAATCTAGGTTTTAGTCGGTATCTAGTATCTACTAATGGTCATTAAAGATAATGACGTGGGAGACCCATTCAAGGCGCAACCAGTAAAGCAAGCCGTTTCGTGTAGAGAGAGAGAGCCAGGGGGGACACGCAGATACCGTATAGCTCCGTATATATAAATAAACAAACATGTGCTCATTTTATGCCATCAACAAAAGCCATTGCACATTTGCACTCCCGGAAGAAAAGATAAATCGAACAATAATACCACTGGAGTTTGGAGAAGCGCGCACGGATTTCCAACATTCGCCGGCCGGGAAACATGACTTCACCCGAGATTTCCGAGGCCGGTATGCTCCCCGGCGGCCAGCGGTCCACTTTCTCCACCACTTGCAACCGCTTGAGCCAGTACTTAAAGGAGAAGGGCTCCTTTGGGGATCTCACCCTCGGCCTTGCCCCGAATCCCGTCTCCTCTTCCGGTGCGCCCCTTTCGCCGGAATCTTCTTCTTCTTTATCTCTCTGCTTCCTCTTTTCTTGATTTTTCTGTTGTGTTCTTGAGATTTCCAGATTTCATTTGTTGTGTTTGTTGGTAGTGTTCATACCCAAAATTCGTTGCGAGCCCTCTTTTGGCTGAATGAATAACATAAGCTTATGGATGAAATTGGTGCGCAGGAACTCCGAGAGAGACAATGGATCTATTGCCGATGATTGAGAAATCTGGGCAAAAATCCCACAACTTGTTTGAAGAGGAAAGAGCCAAGGCAGAGACCCAGAAGAAGGCACAGATGACCATTTTCTATGGCGGGCAGGTGATTGTGTTCAATGACTTCCCAGCGGACAAGGCCAGAGAAATCATGCTTCTTGCTAGCAAAACCATGGCGCCTTCTAAGGCTGCGGCCCCTTGTTTTGGGAACCAGAGACCTCCTCAGCCGCCTAATGTCTCTGGTAGGACTGCTAACTTGATTTCTGCTGCTAATCTATTCCTTAATTTAAACCTTTTCACTCGACTTGATAAGATTAATTCTATACCATTTATAGTTCTAATTTGGATGATTTTTTTGGGGTGTCATTTTGCAGACTTGCCTCTATCAAGGAGGGCATCCCTGACCCGGTTTTTGGAGAAGAGAAAAGATAGGTAGTGATATAACACCAAAATATAAGTTTTTTGTGTCATTTATTCCCGAATTCTTCAAAAATTATGCGGATTTCTCTTGAACTTTAAAAATTGCACCATTGGTCCCTGAACTTTTAAATTTTTTTGCCATAATGGTCCTTCTGTTCCAGATTTGAATGTGCGTTAATCACACGTTCTTCTAGTACGTGTGTGAATTCATCCAAACTCATATATCACATGAGTTCTGCAATATGTTTTCTTAAACATTATCTCAATATTTTTAACCTATTTAAGGCCAGATAATAATTCTCTCTTTAGCCTGTAACCGAACTCAAAGTTCAGGCATTAGTCGATCAAACTCTTTATCAATCGATAAAACTCTTCATCAATCTATGGCAATTTCATCTCCTAGCTCCAACATGTATATTGATTAGTGTGTGACTAACGAACTTCCAAATTTGACACAGAGGAACTATTGATGCAACATTTTAAAAAATTCAGTGACCACTAGTTCAGATTTTGAAATTCAAGAGGAATCAATGCAATTTTTATAAAGAGTTCTGGGATAAATGACACAAAAAAAACCTACCCGAATAACATCTTTGGGTAATCGTTAGACCCAAAAAGTCTCTGGAAGAAATTTGATTTGATTTTCTTCTTGTTTTTTCTTTTAAATTCTTATGAATTGTAGAATTGTGTCTATGAGTCCATATGCATTGGTGAACCAAAAAGCAGCCAATTTATCATCATCATCTTCTTCTAAGGCGGAAGTAGAGAGCAAGGGATGGCTGGATTTGGGTGTCCATTTTCCTATGAAAATCGAGCAATAATTATTATAGAGCCTTTTATTATTACTCTCAGGGTAGGGAGGATTGGTGGCCTTCCTCATTTACCCTTTTTTGTGTGTGCGCTTAATTATTACCAATATAATCAAAAACTTTGGCTCGAAATCCCCATCTGGTCCAACTTGACTGGTTTTACTCTGGGTATTAGTTAGTTGATGTAATCAAGCTGTTGGATCATTTCTACTTTTGCTCATTATATGTATAGTCATCCGGAGATATCCCATTATTCTGAAGTGTGATGGATGGATTATTGTTGTTGTTTTAGCTTGTGATCCCCACTGTTTCATAAATCTTTGACAATAAGCCAAATCAATAAACTCAAGCAATAAGCAGGTGGTTATTTTTGGATTATGAGATTTTAATTGACCATTTGTGATATATTAAAAGCTAAGTGAATTTGAATATACATTATGTCTATATGGGAGCGTCTAAAATAACACCAGTTACTTATACACCGGTTGCTTACACCAGTTCGTTTGGGTACCTACGATGCCCTGCTTGTAAAAATGACGGTTCCTACCCCCCTAACCCTCCCCAAAAACCCCCATCCCAGCCCCACCCTTGCCCCCCACCCCAGCCCCCCTCCTGCCCCCCTCCCTACCCTGGCAGTACACAGCCACGCAGTATACTGCCACGGTAGGGAGGGGGGCGGGAGGGGGGGCTGGGGTGGGGGGGCAAGGGTGGGGCTGGGGTGGGGGGTTTTGGGGGAGGGTTCGGAGAGTAGGAACCGTCATTTTTACAAACGGAGCACCGTAGGTACCTCAAACGAACTGGTGTAAACAAATGACACCAGTAGCACTGGTGTCATTTTAGACTTACTCATGTCTATATTTATTTATTTTTTTTGAAGTGTGGATGTTGGTGTAATCAACCATTTAGCATTTGTTTAGTTGATTAGTTACATAGTTTGTTAGTTAGTTAGGAAGATATTTTTGGTTGTTGTTTTTCATTTTCTATATATAGGAGTTAATCATGTAATACAAAATTTGAGCTAGTTAATACACTTAGGGACTGTTTGTTTCAGCCTCTTAATGGTTCAGATGTCTGAATGGTTCAGCACTTAATGGTTCAGACTGTTTGTTTCAGCCTCTTAATGGTTCAGATGTTTGAATGGTTAAGAGATTTGACTCTGAAGGGTTAAGTATTATACAGAGTCTGAATGGTTAAGAACTCTTATCTGAATTGATCAGACATTTGCCTCTGAATTGTTAAGCAATATACTAGCTCTTAATGGTTCATACCTCTTACTAGTTCAGCACTTAATGGTTCAGACCTCTTACTGGTTCAGCACTTATCCATTCAGAAGTTGCCAAACAGTCCCTTAATTCCAACATGGTATCAGAGCTGGTTGCTATAGCTCCAAGCAATCACTCCTTATCTTCAATTTCTCTCTCCCACCATTTTACGCTTCCCAATTCTTCAATCCTTATCTTCAATTTCAACTCCTAGATTTCCGTCGAAGAAGAAGCTGAATTGTCAATTACAGGCGCGGACTCCTCCTCCCATGGTGTCTTCTACCTCTGGATTTATCGCCGCCGTTTTGCTCATCGTCGTCCTCAACCAATCCGGCATCGTCTCCGCCGTGTAGAGGCGAGAGATAGACTCGATGTTGACAGCTCTGAGAAGAAACGGCCACGGTCTCTCTATCAAAGCGATTGTCGCCTCCGACCTCTTGTACGATCTCGTCGGCGGCGGAGAAGCCGTTTTCACTGTCTTAGCCCCAACCGATGCATCTCTCTTCTAGTTCGAGATAGTGAATTCGGATCTGCATCCAATTACACCGCTTCTCTCTTCTGCCACGCTGTCTCCTAACGCCTCTCTGTCCGCGGCTTCTTCCTGGTCCATCTCTCCGCAATCTCGCCGTCGATTTTGAATCTCAGGCAAAACTACGCCGCCGGAGGTCTCTTCCCCCACGCACTCCACCAGGCTCATATCCGTGGATCTCTGTCGACGCCAGAGCGCATCCCTAAGGAAACTTCCGTCTCAGAAGATCCTCACTTATGGACTTTTCATCTGTCCAATTCAGGTCATGTTCATTGTCGTGTGCTCCATGAAATGCAAAATCAGATTCATCATTATCAAATGCAAATCTATAATTCTTGCATTTGAGTTTCTGTCTTCAATTAAATCAGTTTTATGACATGAATATCATTGTCAATCTGATTTCATCCTCATCAGATTTCATAAGAGATTGAATAAATTCAAAACATGTTCTTCATTTTTGACTTTGCCATCTATGTTTCATCTTCATCATAACTGATCCTTATTGATCCTCTGTTCATTATATTGGTTCTCAGATTGAGTATCCAATTTCATTCTCATTCTCATGAGTCATGATTGAAATGTTTCGTTCAATCATTTTCCTTCACTTCTGAAATTCAGAAGTTTCATCATTGTTCAGTTTCACTCAATCGGTTTGATTGAGTTTCACTCGTATCGCTTCGATCGAGTTTCTCACTTTCATCATCATCCGGGTTTTGGTTGATTTCAACAATTGTTTTTGTCAATTGATTTCATTTCATCTTTTGATGTTTCGTGTGAATTCATCAATTGATTTGTCATCTCAACTTCATCATCGGTTGTGCATGGTTCATTTTTCTGTTCATTTTGGTGAATCATGGCAGCCATCATCGGTTGTGCTTCTCAATTTCAGAACCAAAGGCCTTCAGATTTCTTAAGTTGCCAAGCCTGAATTCTTGAAACTATGAAAAGAGTTTGCTCCACTGTTATGCAGCTTTGCATTGACTTCAATACCTTTGGCTCTAGCAAATTCAAGTTCACAAATCTCGGACCCGATTCTCTTAACATGGTTGATATCGTGATGGGGGCTTGAGGCATTTGGTGTAACTTTGAGGAAGATCTGATGGCCTCAGATTTTAAGAAAGTGGTATTTGACCAACTTTATAAGATTGCTGGCCTGCTATTCTTGGGAGAACATAAGAGCAAATTCCTTGATGTACTTGTTGAAAAGGCAGAGAAACATCGAGCAGTAAACCAGAAGCTTGCTGTTTTGGTCAATGGGTTTTCATCTATATACACATTGAAGTCAACACAAATTTGATTCAGTTGCAAGTTGATGTTGTTCCCACCTTCAACTTGAGGGGGGGGGGGGGGGTGTTGGTGTAATCAACCATTAACATTTGTTTAGTTGATTAGTTACATAGTTAGTTAGTTAGTTAGGAAGATATTTTTGGTTACTTGTTTTTCATTTTCTATATATATATATGAGTTAATCATGTAATGCAAAATTTGAGCTAGTTAATACACTTAATTCCAACAGTGGAGAATGATATAATGCTCAATTAGTTTAGAATGAACGGAAGAAGGGTAAAATTGATGAATTAGAAAGTAGATATTTGTTTTTTGGCTTACAAAAATAAAACTACATAAAAGTAAAAAAACAAATGTGAAGAATAAACGGAAATTTAAAATTTCTAAAACTCCGGTTGTGTTCTTGTGTTATTTACTAATTCAATACTCGAGATTTGTTGTTTGGTACTAGAATAAATGTGTAAGAAAGGAGAAATGGATGCATCTATCCGGGGACCTCTTACAATTGATAGAAAATTTGAAACTTACTGTAGCTCGGAGGAGTAAAGTTGACTTTTAATTATGACCGGATTGAAAAAGAATAGAATCTACCTTGTTTTTCATATTTCATCCCTCCCAAAAATCCAAAAAAATCGTCTCTTTAAAGATAATGGTCTTGTTTGGGAATAACATTTTCGATTAGCGTTTTGAATAAAATTTTAATAGTGTAGATTAATTCTTAAAACGCTGATGCTAAAAGCTGCCGTCGGATAGCCTTTTCAAAACGCTAGTTTCTAACGCTGATGCCAAACAGGGCCAATGGCTTCCTTTCGAAAATGGTGGTTCTCCCCGCCGTTGGCTTCTTTGACCATAAATAGTTGATTGGACTAGTCAAATTAAACAACCAAATTTAATGTTTGGAGGATGACCTCTAAATTTGTCTTTTGGAACTGAATGACCAAAAAATGAAATGCTAACGATATTGATGGTGTAAATTACCACCCGGGTAAACTACTCTAGACTGAGTCTAGGGTGATTTGCTAAGATTAAGAACTAAAAAGATACAGAAAATAGAGATTGATCGGGAGGAGGTGGTAATACTTGCAATCCAATTGTTATTATATATGGAAAGAGTGCAATGAGGTATTACATAATATGCGTTTAGAGAAATGAAATGTTGAGGGTTACTTTTCCATCATCTCCGATGGAGCCAAAATTTCACCATTTTTTGGCTTTGGGGTGTGATGGAATAAATCAAAATGAATCTCTAAACTGTCTGCGCTTCTTTAACTAATGAAGTAGCAGTTAGTCAAGCAATGCAACTTTCGACGTTGAGCCGGGGGTCTCTTTGGAAACAGCCTCTCTACTTTCGAGTAGGGGTAAGGTCTGCGTACACACACCCTCCCCAGACCCTACTCTTGTGGGATTTAACTGGGTTGTTGTTGTTGTTGTTGTCTGTTGAGGGTTACAAGACTATTTATAGTGGAGCCTAGGGGACAAGACAAAGAATGCCCACATTGGCCCACGTTTCTAGACAATGCGATGTGACTTCCCTTGTCACGTAGCGCTTGTCCTACTCATTTGTCGGCTTGTGTTGATAGCATTCCTCTTGCACGTAGTGCTTAAACGAGAATATCTGAATATTCTCTGCGATCCTCAGTCGCTACCGTCCAACCATGCTTGGATTATTCTTGCCGACACATGTATGCCCAAACTGACCACCTAGTACGAGTCCCGAAAACCTGCCTGGGTGGTTTCTTGAAGGAACATTTTTTATTCTCTAGTCTGTCTATTGTTGCATCTATTCTCTAGTCTGTCTATTGTCTTTTTATATTTGTAATCAAATTGGAGACGAAAGGAGTATAACTTTTGTTTACTTTCTAGTCAAAGTTTCCTAATTTTGACAAAAAATTGTCAAAAATGGACAAAAACTCTAGAAGGAAGGGAGAACCATTTTTTTCCTTAAACGTACCTTTTTTTCCCATAATACCCCCTTTTGTTTCAGTGGAAAACTGAAGCAAAGGGAAGAAAACAAAAAGTAAAGAATTACTCCGTATTTATTTGTTTTGTCATAACATATTCGCCTAATTGAAATTTTAATTATAAATTACTCTCCACTTGTAATATTTATTAATAAATTTTAAAAATTTTAAACAAGATAAAATTAATAGAATCATTTTTATACAATAATATATTATAAATTTTATTTTATTGAAGTGTAAAAATTCATCTAGTTACATATTCACCTAATTGAAAATTTAATTATAAATTACTCTCCACTTGTAATATTGTAATAAAATTTTAAAAATTTTAAACAACATAAATTTAATAGAATCATTTTTATAAGTAATATATTATCAGTGTTATTTTATTGAAGTGTAAAAATTTTCTAGTTTGACTAGAAAAGTCAAACTAAATGAATGTGTTGGGATCAAAGTTGTATTTTTCTTGATCTGGATGGTGAGAAAAAGGGGACAAGAAGTTTTTGTTTTTTAATTTTCTTTATCTCCTCTATGTTTCTTTCATCTAAATCTACTTATTTTGTTTCATAAAAAGGTTTAACATTTGACTTGACAATAAGTATTTTTATAAGAAATGAAATTGTGTTTCTGAATCTGCTGCAGAAAAGAAAAATCACAAAGAATACAAAATTGTATTCACAACCAAAAAAAGGACTTTTTTCAGATTAACTAAAACAGAATTTTACCATCTATTTATGAGATGATGTATAAAAATTCAAAATACTCTTTTACTTTTTTTCATCTTTTTTTTCTTTTCGTTTTTTCTTCTTCTATCCAATCCAAACAACAAGAGTGTAAACGAGATACACCATCCAATCAATAGTTTGAATGGAGGATGTAACCTAATCCATTAAGTATTTACACACATTTCATACTAAATCACCTCATGCAATTTAGACATTTACTATCAGCCAATTACGGCATAATCCCGCTACGCTATTTCATTCGGTGTTGGGATTCGGGAAACCTCACAATATTCCACACCGAATTGAGAGATTTGCACTAATGAAATTTAACAAGAAAAATATTTATAACATAATGAAATTTGCACTAATTAATATTAAAATATATGTTATTTTCTAACGTAGTACTTAAATTTTTTTATTCTCTAAATAATACTTGAATAATGTCTAGTGGTTTGAATATCCAAGGGCGTTGGATATTTACTTGAACAATGACTATTGATACTACATTGAGAAATAAAAACATACGGAGTATGATACTATATTGAAAAAATATTATGTTCTAGTACTATTTAAGTAAACTTCTCTATAAAATACTCCGTATTACTCTTTCCCTCCCAAACCTAAAACCTTGATAATATAACACTTATATATTAAGGTAAAACTAAAAATGGCAATGACTTGGCCATTTTACCCTAGACGTATTTGTCACTATTCGAGCAGCGTGAAAAGTCTATAATTAGAAAGATGAAAAAAGTAAGGACTTGTTTGGGAACAACGTTTTTAATTAGAATAAGTGTTTTGGATAAGATTTTCAATTATTTATGAAAAGGTACCTTTAAAAACATTATTTAAAATAAGGATCACGGGAATAATATTTAATAATGTAGATCACTAAAGATGAAAATCCTCTTTTATAAAGGACTAATTATGAAATTTATTTTAACAATAAATATAAAAAGGATATGGGACCGATGGACTATTAAAAAAATGATTTTAAAAAATAAGAGTAAATTCCATAATTGGTCCTTTATAACAGGGAGGTTTCCCTATTTAGTCATCTATTATCAGATATTACCCAAGTGGTCCTTCTTTTATGAGTATCTTCCCACAAATAGTCCTTTTTTGATCTTCTATCATGTTGGAGTTAATTTGAGGGCTAAAAGTGTAAATTCACAATGATAATATATCTTTTTTGTCATACACAATTCCAAAGGTTGTTCCGTTTGCGTCATTTGTGAATTACATTCGCTTTCTACTATAACCATAGTCTACAAATGTGGTCTTCCGTCGGAATCCTAGCCCACAATCATAGTCATTATTTTTGTGTTATCCGTTTAACCAATATCAGAACACATCACCAAACATAATGTTGATGTCAAATTATACTTTTAGCCTTTAAATTAACAGCCATATGACGGAAGATTAAAAAAAGGACCATTTGTGGAAAGACACCCTTAAAAAAAGGACTACGAGAATAATATTTGATAATAGAGGACTAAATATGGAAACCCCCATGTTATAAAGGACCAATTATGGAATTTACTCAAAAAATAAATACTAAGAATCTGAGGATGTACTTCATTTTGCCATATTGGATATGTGGAAAGGACATGACTGCAAGATAACAGTGCGAATACTGAGAATGTGATGGTAGAGTGTGGTACTTGATCACCAGTCAACAAGAAATATTTACAGTAAATTAGTTCCAAAGCTTAAGTCATTTCCCTAAATAGCATTTAAATTGTTTTATTTCCTAAATAGCACTTAATAATGTCCATTGATGGTGTAAATTACCTAACCGGACAAACAGTACTAGATCGGGTCTAGGATTGTTTACTAGAATCGAGAATGTAAAAGGTAAAAACACACAAAGTAACCGGGAAGACTGCTGGTGAAAACACCTGTAACCCAATTAATATTCGAATATATATAATAGAGTACACGAGAGCTTTTACATAGGGGCTTTTGTGAGAAGAAATCGGATCCATTCCTTTGAAGGTTACATTGGTATTTATAGTGAGCTAGAGGAGACAAGGCGCCGCACATCCACGTCAGGGCACGTTCTTGGGTGGTGCGAGGTGATTGCCTCAGTCTTTTAGTGGCCTTGTCACCTAGTTAGGAAGGTGACTTCTTTCTCACGTAGTGTCTTGGATGGATTGCCTGAGTATCTCCACTGATTCTCCGTTGAACATGGCCGCTATAGTCCAAGTTCCTTCGGATTCTTCCTTGCCGACACCTCCCAACCATGGAAATCATACCGGGTGAATTCTCAAGGGATTAATTTATTGAAATTGGGGGCCATAGGTGTAAAACGAGTAATTTGACCGGTAGACTATTCGAAGTATACCGGTCAGATTTTATTGTTGACAAATACATTCTTAGTGTCGTTCCGTCTTCCCATCCCAGA